TGGGGAATCTACAAATGCTTAATCGTGTCACTGCCATTGAGCAACAGGAAAAGACTGATGGGGAGGTTAATAAGTTGACTGTGCAATTATAACGCTTACCACGTACCACCGACGTTGGTTAATGTGGTTATTTCCTGCTCCTCTGATCATTTCACCATGTGTTCGTCAAGTCGGCTCTGGAGCCTGGCTATCTGCTCCCTGCGTCGCAGCGACAGGACATGTAGCTATTAACTACCTTTGCTGGGCTCTGTGTTTATATAAACTCCCTGACTCTCATTGCACTTAGGGAAGGCAGCTGAAGTTCTGCCAATGAGAAAAGGATTAGATGAGATTCTTTTTTTTTCTTCTGAGCTTTTAAAAATGTGCAAATGACTGTGAACTAATCAGGAATGGATTAAAACTGAGGACAGTGAGTGACATTTTTCCTCTGTGTGAAAGGCTGTTTTTTGAATTGCTTTTGTTTTCTCAGCATGCACCTCTAAATGATATCACACCTATCACACTACTCTCAGTAGAGGTGAACTATACTTTGTCTTGACTCTTAATGTGAGCTAAGAGTAGATAACTTGACAGGTATAGTACCTAACTGTGACTTTCTGCATAGATATTACTGAAATTGGTGAATGACATAAATTAATCAACACTAAGAACTTGTTCACTGTCCTGCAAACAAGCGCTCTTGCCACAGCTATGATCTTTGCTAGAATATGCGAGTGATGGTTGCCAACATGCACTTGAAGCATTACAGAATAGTGATTTTTGGTACAGAACTATTGTCCAGATAGTCAATATTCCATCTGCTTTACTGATTAAGAATGAGTGCTTCAAAGTTGGCATAAACTGCCCTTGATGTAATTGGTTGTATGGTGCTTTTCAGAGAAGAAAGCTGCGGATTTCAGCCTGTTTATTTAGAAAATAAATATTTAAGTCAGCAGAGCTTATGGCACAAAGCTTGTTGGAAGGACCAAGGTACGAATTTCTGAGCAAGCAACTGGCTACTGTTTGTTTCTGTAGTGCACATTTGTAAAAATAAATAAGGTGACATCAGAGTAGTCTGTTTCTGCCAAGGCTTTCTCCTGTAAATGGGGAAAATCTAGGAAAGGTCTCAATATTGGTGAGTTGGTTTGGCGAAAGAGTTACAATACCAATGCAATTTACCTTTATTAACCCAGACATGGGTGTTTCAAAGGATATTAACCAGGTGCTTTTACTTTACACGTCCTTCTTCTATGAGCAATTCTATCTTGTATAAACAAGAAACCCTGAAAAGAGAGTTGTGAGGGAAAACTGAATACTCTAATGGTACCGTAAAGTCATGGAGTAAAGCTAGAAGAGTGAGTGCATAAATAACAGCTGCTGCTCCACTGCAAACAGATGCTGCAATGAGAAATAACATTGCTGAACCTTTAAGGTCATCACATTTGGAAAAGGAACAAGCAATGTAATCACTGGGGTGACAAACAGCCATCTACTGTGGGCAAATAGTCCTGAGCAGGGATTTACCTTTGGTAATCACAGGTGAAATTTCTTACTGAAAAATAATTTGTGGCAATGAGCTGATTTAGCAAATTCTTTATCTGGTCAATGCAGACTCAGGCTTCATTAGCAGGCAATTTTGCTTGGGAACAAAGTTATGCTAATGGAGACTTTAAGAGGGATGACACAGAAAGCCACCTGTGTCTATGATAAGAAGCAGGAGATTTGGGCCAGTGTTAAGGAGCAATGAGGTTGCCCTCCCAGCTCCAGCCTCCAATCCTGTTATCTAGTTAACACATTCCAGTCGCTGTTGATTGTCATTGCAGAGGTTGGCAGCAGTGGTGGGAATTAGAAAACCAGTTCAGCTGGGATATTAGCAAGAATTAAATGTCTAGAGAACCAGAAGTGAACACATCCAGCAGAGAAATAAGTTGTGAAGGAGAGGACAGCTGTTAATGAGGTGTTTAAACCAATCAAAACTTCCTTCTTTAGTTCCTCAAATAGCAATACAAATGTGAAATTAATTTAACTGCTTCAGATGCTAGCCCTTCCTTGTCTTCATCTCCTGCATTATCAGTGTTGGCCGGATGAGCTGAGGGGCTCTGCTTTCCTTCTATGGCATTAAAAAATGATATTAGTGGGGATTCTAAAGTGTAATCAATTTGGAATGAAGGCTCAGTTACTGGCAGCACCACCACTGAGTGTAACATTTCAGACTGCTCTTTGCTTTCTGTGCTCAGGCCGATTGTTCAGTGATACAATTTTCTGTGAAGTTTATTTGGTCTTTTTTATTATTTTCTGCTTCTGAAGATGGCACTCAACTGATGAAATGTAGTCCACAAACCCATTCATCAGGTTATTTTACAATGAAAAACATTATTTTTATCTTACTACAATTAAACACTTTCATGTTTTGATGTCTCTTTTTTAAGGAAAAAAACAATGTCTTATAAAATGTAGGAATCAAGATTTCCTAGCCATATTTGCCATCTTTCAAAAATGTGCCTGATCAGGTGTTGATGCTTCCAAGAAACCCCAGTTTTCATTAAGGACTGGGTAACAGCCTCCAAAAAACAAAGTATTTACAACGAATCTGTGTGTTGCACTATATTGGTGGTGTGAGGTCTCATCTAGGGATTGCTGCGTGATCACAGGTTCTGCTGCTTCCATGTGTGATTTACTTTAAGGATAATATTTACTGAGACAAACCCAGCTCCTTTGAGTGTACAGACTTGATGAGAGGTTCATTTGTGCATTTTACAGCCCAGTATGAACTGTGGCACTGAGGCATATAGGAACCTCTGTTATATGTTTACTGTTTCCAAGGTGAAGTTGGTTATCCACCCTGCAAAACGCTATCCTCCTTTTGATGCAAGGCTTCTAACACCTAGGTGTACCATCATAGCTTCCCAGCAGGAAGTGTGTGGCACACAAACAATTTGTACTATCCTCAGTTTTCACTTCTCCTCTTGGGGTAACTGAGCAGGACTTCAGCAGTGAGCTTTATCTCTGTGGTTGGTTGACCCTGGCTGGACAGCTGGTGCCTACCAAAGCTGCTCTGTCACTCCCCTCCTCAGCTGGACAGGGGAGAGAAAATATAATGAAAGGGTCATGTCATAACGACAGGGAGATCACTCACCAATTACCATAACAGGCAAAACAGACTCAACTTGAGGAAAATTAGTTTAATTTATTACCAATCAAAATCAGAGCAGGATAATGAGAAAATAAAAGCTAAACCTTAAAACACCTTCCCCTCACCCCTTGATCCTTCCTAGGCTTAACTTTTCTCTCAATTTTCTCTATCTCCTCACCCTCAGCAGCACAGGGGGACAGAGAACAGGCACTGCAGTCAGTTCATCACATGTTGTTTCTGCTGCTCCTTCCTCCTCAGGGGAAGGACTCCTCACGTGCTTCCCCTGCTTCAGCATGGGGGCCCTCCTACAGGAGACAGTTCTCCATGAACTGCTCCAATGTGGGTCATTCCCATGGGCTAAAGTTCTTCATGAACTGCTTCAGCATGAGTCCTTTCCACAGGGTGCAGTTCTTCAGGAACAAACTGCTCCAGAGTGAGCCCCCCATGGGGTCACAAGTCCTGCTCCAGTGTGGGCTCCTCTCTCCACAGGTCCAAAAGTCTCTCCAGGAGTCTGCTCCAGCACAGGCTTCCCATGGGAGAGGTCACAGCCTCCCTCAGGCATCTGCCTGCTCTGATGTGGGATCCTCCATGAGCCACAGGTGGATCTCTGCTCCACCGTTAACCACCATGGGCTGCAGGGGAACAGTCTCCCTCACCATGGTCTTCGCCATAGACTGCAGAGGAAACTCTGCTCCAAAGCATGGAGTACCTCCTCCCTCTGCTTCTTCACTGACCTTGGTGTCTGTAGAGTTGTTTCACACACATATTCTCATTCCTCTCTTTGGCTGCTGTTGCTGTTTTCCCCCCACCTTCTTAAATATGTTATCTCAGAGGTGCTACCACTGTCACTGATTGGCTCAGCCTTGGTCAGCAGCAGGTCCATCTTGGAGCCAATTGCACTGGTTCTGTCGAACACAGGTGAAGCTTCTATCAGCTTCATACAAATACCACCACTGTAACCCCCTGCTACAAAAGCCTTATCATGGAAACCTCACACAATCTCCTACTGTAGCGCAGACTCATTTACAGGCTCAGACAACATTTGTTTTGGTGAGAACTCAAGACTGTTGACAGGGTTAAGAGCTAAGCTATGGAAAATGACTCCAGATAATTCGATTAGTTCCTTGACTGAACAATAGACTCAGCTGTAGGCTTCAGACATGTCATTCAAGGTCTAATTCTGTCATCTGTTCATAGGTGTCTTGTGCCTGTCAAGATACCATCATGCATTTGAACCCTCCAAACAGAGCCGACATTTGTGACATAGTGCCTACAGGAGAGCCTTGACCTTCTGGCTTGGGTTTAAGAGATCAGGTGGATACCAACATGCAATTTATCTGTCTACAGTGCAGCTACTCACTTGTGAAGAGGACATCTCAGGCTATTTTAAGAGCCAACAGCCAGTGGACTCAATGGAATGAGTGGGTTTAAGACATGATCCATCTCTTCTATTTCCCAGATCCTTACATCTGGGCAGATAGCACACCTTAAAATCCTTTGGCTGTACTGACTAGCTTTTGTCTGGTTGTTATGGAGACCAAGCAACTAGCTTAGATGTGTATAACTCTACTTGAAGGCAACTAAAGGTGAGAAGAACCTACTCAATTTCCTTATACCTTTGCTTTCACCCAGTAAGTGTGGACAGTATTCCCTCCTTTCCCCATCATTAACTCCCTGCACAATTTATGTTCTAAATTCCCCCAATCAGAGTTTATTCTTACCCCTTTTTGCAGGTAGCTGGCACAGCTCTGTGGTGACTGGCAGCTCTCAAGTCTGGACATTCAGAGCTTAATCACAGCTGGGGGAGGGTGATGCTGGCACCACTGGTTAAAATGTAGGAATTTGAATATCATAGAAATATCACACCAGAAAATAATCACACCACTTCTAAAAAAAATTAAACCCTTTTTATTTGTATATTTATTTTTATATATAAAAGAAATACAAAAAAAAGAACACAAACAAAATGCTGATTATGGCAATTCAGTTTTGTCAGCTCCCTCTGCCTGGCTTGCTGCTTCAGATCCACTGGGAGTGAGTAAAGTCCTTCGGTTATAATGTCCTTTTATGATTCCAGAGTTATTGTTCTCATTAAGGATTTGCTTTTGTTTTTGCCTGTTAAGAGACTGTACAAGTCCTAATACAACAGCTGCTAATGAATATTGTCCAGTCAGCTTTCTTGGTTGTAAGATTAAAGGATTTGGTTGAACTCTTCCTAGAAGAAAATATGTTTTGATTTTTCCTTCCTGTTCACTGATACCTTTGACATAAATCTCTCCTCGGTAGTCGAAGGCAAATCCCCGGTCCTTCAGGATCAAATACGTTTCTTCAGGCACTTGTATTCTGTCACTAACACCTGTGCTGTCCATTCGACTTGCTAAATTAACCGTTTTGCCCCAGATATCGTATTGGGGTTTCTTAGCACCGATAACTCCCGCTACAACAGAGCCATGGCTAATCCCTATTTAAAACAAAAAAAATAAAATAAAGAAGAGATGGCCAGTTAGACAGGAATGGCTGAAAGCCATATTTGCACTTAAGAACCAAATGAAGCCTGGTTCAGATACAACTGTCTCTATGCTTAAGACAGAGGTGTACATACAAAGTAAGAAAGGAAAAAAAAAAGCTAGAAAATCTAGAAAACATGAAAAATTATTTCCATAGAGTTATTGTACAGGGTGTCTGTCTCAGTGGAACCAAAGTATGGATCTATCATCTGTATTCTGCACACTACTGTCAAAGTTCCTGCAAACTGATTCTCATGTAGTAGGAAAGATGTCTGTGGAAACATCTTTCTGGGTCTACACTTGTTAAAGGCAAATTTGTTAGTGTTATACATTCAAGAAATTACATTCTTAAGTTCCATGGAATGAAAATTTTGAAGTATTCTATGAAGTTATTGAAAGACTGTATCTTGTAAGATTGTTGAATAAATTCAACACATGCAACAATATAGAAGAGACTGGTTTTTTTATATACTTCAGTGATTTAAGAATGTATTTAGTGATAGTGAAAAGCACATCTTTGGGAAAAGGATTTTAGGTTTTTAGATTATTTTTAAGAAAATTGTTTTATATTGGTGATAGAAATAATTTCCAAATACTGTTGCATTCATGCTCTATGAAATCTTTGCAGGTGATCCACAGTTACTAAGAGTGAATGTAAGTTCCCTGAGAAATCTTGGGAACTGAGAGTCTTTTATTCAAAACTGTTTGGAAGTGCAGATCTCAGATAGTGGTGCTGAGACCCTTCAAGCTCTGACTGATGAACATACTTTAGCTTTTTTATGGCAGAGTTGCCTGTAAAGGACATGTTTCTTCCAGGTGGTTTTTGGTTTTGGCCAGTGATCCAGTAAACACCAGAAGCAATCAGATTTACTCCTGCTACGTGCCATATATTCAGACCATCTTTTCATGTCTCATCCTACTAGCCATCAGGGTAGGTTGCCCATCACAAATATTCAGAGCTGCTGCTACTGGTCAGAACAGAAATGGAATTCAATTTTTGTGCAAAACCAAAGTACTACACACAGAATCTAGGATAAACTACTAAACACCTTTACTGAAGAAGAATCTAAGGGAGATTAGAGACTGTGCAAACCAGTATCAAGCTTGGGGTTAGATCTGGGCCGCTCTGTTCCCTTTCTGTGTTATATCTATGGGCTCTTCACTAGACTTGCTAAAGACAGTAGCTTAATTATAGTACACATTCACAAATCACTAAAACTAAGAACTCCTGCAGTCCCCAAATAAGTGTCTATAATCTGCAAAATGAATATTTCTTGTTTCTTACTTTACCTGGGATGAAGTAAATCTGAAAACAGAGGATACAGCATTTGGAATCTCTGAATCTGTGCATGTTCTTGCAATGCTCCTGGGGTGCACTTGCAGAGATGTATCCTTACAGGCAAAACCCCGTTTTAATTCTCATGTTTAAACTATGCTTACCAATACGGAGTTCAAAGTTGTTAAATGAATGCTTGTTGATCTCCTGTATGCTTTCATTCAGAGCTATGGAGAAGTCAGCCAGAGCACACAAATGCCCCCATTTGTCTTCACATTGCTGAGGAGTAAGTTATAGATCAATGTGTTAGAAATGTTTTGCATTTGCCCAGCTCCCACCCATTCCTACCAAGTGCCAAGTATCTGAATTTGGAATTTGTAATAACAGTCTCAACATACCAGATCCAAGAGAGGTAGGGTATTACTAATGGTAATGCTTCCCACTTACATTACAACTCTTGTATACCTGGATATAGAGAAACTCAGTGTGAAGTACCAAAGAAAGTAATTACCTGTCAGTAATCTGACAGGCAATCATCAGAATTAATGAAGCATGTGAAATCTTCCTAAGGCTGAGAAAGAAAGGATAGAGAAGATTGAGATAGCTCGGGCGCAAGGGACACAAACTTGATGGAATGAACCGTGTAAGCAAGAAGCTGAGTGAAAGAAGTGAATGATGCAATTCTCCTTTGCTGAAACTGTCACCCAGGAAAAGCATCAGTTCCAGTGCTCTCAGGGGTGGAATAGTGACAGGAGCAAGGCAACCAAGTGGGAGAGAAAAAGCTATTCTGTAGCTGATTAATCACCTCTGCTTAGAGCAATCAAGTCACTTCTTCACTTCCATTTCTGCTCCTACAGGGCAGTTGATGTACAGATGAGACGAGGAGTGCATTTTGGTCTTTCCAGAACACCAACAGAGCAGATGGTGGGGCAGGGACTCTTAAGGGAAGATAAGGAGCTCCTCAATTGTTTCTCTGAGTAGCAGCGGAGTAAGGAACAGCCATGGTTTTGGCCTGATTATGGTATTATGTCATCTCATCTACATTAAAGCTAGGTAATTCTTTCATCAAACAAATTTCTAGTCCATAGGAACAAAGCATTGCTAGCCTTGCCCTGGGCCATGCAGTCTAGTCCTTTGCAGTTTTCATCACCTTCAGTGCTTAATACTGAACATAAGCATCTCGCTGGCATCACTCTGTTCTGTTCACACCACGCTTGGTCCTTGTCCTCAGCCTCAGCATGTTCACAGCATGCCAACTTCCCTCAACAGCCCTCTCTTCTGAGATGCTGACAAGGTGATAGACATGTATGTATGAAGATAAGTATTTAAAACATACATAAAAATTCCATTAGACTGTTATAGTTCAAGAAAAAGGATGAGTTAATCAGTCTTGGAAATGCAGTAAAGATTTTCTCCCTTTGAATTTTTGCTCACATCAAGAGTCAAAAGAAGTGGATAGGAGCTGTGTAGCTATAGACAGCTATGTCCCTCACATTCAGTCCTTCTTTGCTCACCTCTGCACAGAAGCATTCTGAGTTGGAACAAGCAAAAATCTCCTGCATGTCTAGTTGCCTGGATTTCTAGCTGTCAACATCACTTGTTACACTGTAGGTGGGAGATGCTCAGCTAGTTACACTCCACATGTTTTGTAATGTATTCTAAACAAACAATGGAAATTTTCTAGTTTATAAAGCTCATGTTAATCTGGCTTCTGCTTTTCCGGCAGTTACAGCCAATGTGGGAAGATCTGATTTCCACTCTGTGGTTGATCTGGGGCAGCATACCCTTTTCGACAGTGCTCTTCCTTGGGGAGAGGCACTGGTTGCCAAGCAAGACAGATTTCAGCAGCAGAAAACTTCTTGCTGGATGTATTTTAGAGCCTCGTCTTATTCCTTTGGAGACCTCATTTCCAGACATATTCTTGGGTGTAATTATAGATGGATTTGTCTCATCTGACTTATCTGAGGTTTATGGCTGTGGCTGTGCATGTGGCATTTTTCCCTTGGTTTGTTTTGCACCTCTGCAAGTGAGGGTAGTGTGCAGGCTTCTGGCTTTGCGATGTTCTTCAGTTGTACTGATGGGTCTGCTTTCTTTTTGATGTATAGTTCATCACGCTGTCTGCAGATATACAGCCACATCATCACAAAATTTATAAATGCAACCTTACACTTGTATAGGTATGCTAACAGTTAATGGATCCTCTCTCTTCATAGGCTATTGGAGGCTGTGAGCCAGACTCCAGTCTGAGCTACAGTCATAACTTTAAAGTATGCCCAAAGATATAGATAGACCTGCTCTAGATTGAAAGATTTTTTTTTCTCTCCTATAAACCTAAATTTGAGGAAAGAATCCATATGGTTCTTGTTCCAAGTACAAGATGGCATTTCAATTCATCTAGAAGTGCAACTGTTTTCTGCCAGAAGCCCCAAATGTCTATTTTATTTTAGCAAACACAGCTCTGTGAACATCATAGCGATAACACTAATATTCTCTAATGTGAATGGTCAGACACACCAAAAGCTTTCCCTCTTAAGGAAAAGGACTCTCTTACCTGTTTTTCAGGTGATAAACCTGACACGGCCATGTATGTGCTGCCAATCGTTTTAATTTTTTCAATATCTTGAAATCTCTCTTCACCTAGTAACTAATACATATGTGAAAAAAAAAAACCACTGTTACTTCTGTAATTTTTACTGCAAAACGGTTCTGCAGGTGTCAAAATGAATAATTTTACTTATGGTATCTTCCAGTTGGTCATGGCGCGCAGTTCATTCTGAGTTCTGGGTCACACTGAGCTGGGACACTTTGCAACATCATCTACTCACAGAGTGCATTTAAACTAAATTCTGCTGTGCTCTGTAAAGCTGTTTGCTAAATCACACAATGGATAAAATAAAATATGCATATTCCATCCAAACTTAAATGCAGATGGGTCCTGCATTTCCTGAGGTATAATCACTGAAAATTAATGAAGACAAACTCTCTGTGCATGTATGTGTGAATAGAAGAAGACTTGATTACTTCAAAGTGTTATTAAATCTCTTTTGGAGAAATTCAGTTTACAAATTAAGTGCTGCTACAGAAACGATTCAGATGATGAGGCCAGTGTTAAAGGGAATTCAGTCCACTTAAAATAACTATTTTAACCATCTTACACAGTCCAAAGAACTTCTATAAGAGATAAAGTCCTCCTGTATTCCACACTTCCCTCTACTTACTGTTGGACCTAACACTGATATGTGCATTGGGTCATTCTGTCTGCACTTTTGTTATGTATTTTCCCCTTCTACAAAAAATAAAGGGAACCAATGGGAAGTGGCAAACATCTGTGTCTATTTGGGACAGATATAGGTGCTAAGTAGGCATAGATAACTCATTAGATCGAGAATCTGCAAGAAGAAGAATAAATTCAGTCTAGTGACTAAAGCACTGAGTAGAATAGGAGTGTCAGTTCGGCCCCTATTTCAAGTCAGTATTCACAGTTTAATGTAGGACTTTCCATGAAATAAAAACTAGACCCATACATTCTTTGAGAGACCTATGCAGAGTTCAGGCTGTGAATGCCCTCAATGACAACAGAGTGTTATGTTGAATATGGGTTTGTATCACCTCATCACAAGTTTAAAATTGTGTATTGCTGATGTTAATACCAAAATACCCCAGGAAACTTCATAATAAGCAGTGTGGTGTCTAATAAATTTAGCCATCAATATGGTTAAGCACTCCAGGAAGAAAAAAAGTTCCCAGAAAAAAGGAATTTAAAGCTTTCAGTTCTAAAGGCTCAACTTAGTTGTTATTTAAATGAAAAAAAATCTTGCTGTAGTCAGGCAAAAATTTAATAAAGAATTTCCCCTTTTTTATATACTATCATGCATTCTTTTTCAATCTTGTGGGTTTGAGTTTCCTGTCAATTAAAAACTAAAGGGATTATTTCATTCAAAGGGAGAAACATACCAAAGGCATAACATGAAATATCCCCTGCCATTGAACTAACCACAGCATACGTCAGCAGAAGTGCTGTGGTCTTGGAAGCTTTGCTGCTCGTGTACAGATATCATACCATCTGTCTCTAATGGGAGGCTGCACGGCATTGTGCGCTGGGAATACAAAGCCATATGGTTAATGGCTCTCTTCCAAATCAGAGAAGTCCAAAAACTTGACCTGCTTCTCATTTTTCTTCGAACTGTGAGAAAAGCCCATTATCTACAATTCCCTCCTACAACGGCAGCTCCTCCAACTGCTCTCTTAAAGAAAAAGATCATTTCTTGTAGTTCTGTTTTTGTGAGCAGTCTGAGAGCACCAGGTGTGTGGGCAAGGGAAGAAAATGGTCTTGGTTAAAAACAGCCTATGTTTTCATTTCCAGATGGCTGCTGGAAGCGACAGCAAACAGCACAGTATTTTAAAATGTATGATAAATATCCAAAATTACTCTTTTTAAGAAAGAAAGAACCTATTGGCTGTGAGGCAATTTAAAAGAATTAATCTCAGGTTATATTTTTTCTTCTCATTCATTATTGTTTCCTAATCTTCATTCTTTTTTCTCCTTTATCCTGTCTGTTAGATAGCTTCTTTCCTTCTTCACATAATGGTTTATATACCAATTACTTTCTTTACAGTGTGACAGGATGATGGATTTTAATACTGGAGAAAGATACTCCAGCTCAGTCCTAAATCAGCTCCTGTTTGTTATGGCATTTAAAATAGGCTTGCTAATTTACTAAGACAGCCCAGGGAACATTTTCAAACACCAAAATGTGATTGGTATCTGAAAAGAACTAATGGTTTGAAGCCGCAATGCATGTGCAGCCAAGGCTATATGAGGCCAGACCCTGGGATATACACATGCAATGAAACATATACAAAGTAGTACAAAACGAATGTTTTAGGACATGACACACAACTGCAAAGTAATCAGCAAAGACTGAAAGCAGGATCCTGCATTCTGCTGAAACCTTCATGTGTGGCAACATAATATGTTAAAATCTCTTGTCATGAACACCCTGTAAAACACTGCAGGATAAAGAAAACAGGGGAAAGAAATAACCCGTGAACTAGAAAGCTCTTATTAAAACACAAATCCCAACTGTAACATCACTAGGATACATAAATGATAGATTAAAAAGGGTAGAAAGAATGTTGCATTAAAAAAAATCCTTTGAGACTCATAAACTTCAGGAGAAATGTTCCAATATTATTTTTTCTGGTGCAATATCTCTAAGGACGGAAGTTTAGCCCTATTATGTGTCTTAAGACTACAGTCATATAAAAGTAGGTAATTATAAAAATAGATTTGCAATGTTCATGGGGTTTTTGGTGCATAAACTGTTCCTGTCAGCATGCTGGCCCTGAAACATGGTACCTGAAATGACTTCTGGTTCCTTTTCCATGGGTAGGATCACTTACTTCTGTTGTTCTGTCTGGCATATCATCTTTCAGATCGCTTAGGCAGAATAAACTAATGGCACAACTGTGCTGGAAGTAGGTTAGCAGTCAGCAGGGGATCAAATAAATTCATTTACTACCCATACCAAAAACATATCTGTTGTTCAACTAAACATGCCTGAGACAAAATACAGTCCCTAATTAGGTCCTGTATTAATTACAGAACAGGTGTTAGGGGCCTGAATGTAATATTGAGTTAGGGCTTTTGATGAAAACCTCATCTTCAACAATCGCCACAGCAGCAATGGAATTTTGTTGTGAATATTATATGAACATGCATGACAAAGTATCTTAAATTAATTCATAGCAATAGGCTTTGCGTTAAGTTTGAACCATAATAATTTTTATCAGATCTGGAAAGAAAAGCAAAACAATTAATCAAGAAGCATGCTGAGAGCTGTGCAAGATGTCAGAGAAAAGAAGCAGGTATTTATGCCTATAGCATAGGAAAGCAGTGCAGCAGCTTAGCACATTACAGAGCCTTTCTCATATGAAAATTGTGGTTTTTTTGTTTGTTTGTTTGTTTTTCTCTATTAAAATGCACAGGGATGCATCCCCTGTGAATTTTTCTATTTCCATTAGTAATTTTAGTATCTGACCATTGGTATGAATATGAATAAACTCAATTTCTTAACCCTGGTCCACTTTTTATGAGCTACCACTCTATGAACATTCCCCATGTAGATGCCAAAGATGAGCTGCAGTTAAGACTCAGATCTGGGTTCATCTTTAGGTTCTAGCTTCTAGTGTGAGAAAAGGTAACTTCGTTTTTAAAAAAAAAGCAGGAAAGTCAATTATCTCTTTGTGCTTTTGTTTTCCACTTTTCAAATGAAGATAACATAAATTCCACCAGAGGAGCAAATTAAAAACAAATTAATCAAAACTTGTGAAAGGCCTTAGGCACTTTCTGCTCAGGATGGAATAAAAGAAAAAAAGAATCATTTTTGTTTTCTTAATATCTTTTTCTCAGTTGTATGCCTTCCACTTTCATCTTTTCCTCTGAATACCTTCCTCTGAATACCTTGAAGATACTAGCTCTTCAAAGCAGAAAACCCAAAAACCCTAGGCTAGATCCTCAAAGAGCGGTAAATATTTAAAGTCAGACAGATGTAACACTAAATAACTAAATTTTAAAAAGACATTGATTCTCGAGTCTTCTTTAGCTGCACTCTAAATTCTGGATAGGTCTGAACTCTGACAATGCTTTTGTTTTCTGGAAAAAAGGTTTTCTGTGTGCTTAATCTATGGGCAGAATCCTAGTCCAGGTGTAAAGACTAAATATATCTTCTAGTCTTCTCTCAAAAGCTCTATCTTTTGCGCTTTGGTAAAGTTTTTTGAGTTGAGAGCAAAAGTGGTAAAAGATGTTATCTTTTTTCAAACTGCAACCTACTTGGAGTTTTTCCCTTCTCTGTTTTAGGCAATTGCTCCATGGTTACTTAGCTCATGTGGGAAGTGAGATCCAGCTCCAGCTCCTTTTGAGGGAACAAATTCTGTTTTGTTGAACTGCATCTTAATTTTAAGCTGGCAAGACCTTCATCCAGTTGATATTCTTCCACAATACAGAAATGAATTAAAAAATTCCTTGGCATAAACAGAGATCAAACAGAATGTGTGTTTCTTGGGTAGGACTTTTTACTGTTTCTCAATGATTTCTTGCCAACCATGTACCCTCTCCCCTGCTGTCCAGTTTAGTACTAATCTTGCCTTGCTCAGCAGAATTCTGAAAAGGATGTTTTCTCCCCACTTTCTCAATAAGAGACTTCTCCGAATACAGAGTCACAGACCAATGGTACCACCACCAGTGTGTTGTAGTCCTTACCATATTACAGTTTTCCTCAACAGAAAATTTACTCTAAAAATTCTGTCCCAGCAAACCAAGACAGAAGTTTTAAAGGTTTTTTGAAAGGTCTTTGTTGGTCTATCCCTTGTCCCCTTTCTTATTTCTTCGTGGGCTCGTTGTATGATATGATACTTCCCTGGCTAAGCTTCCTTATTAACTAGTTGGAAGAGTATGCAAAACCAAGTATGCAACTTGCTCAGGACTTTCTCTTCACTTTCCAGATTTTCCTTGCTTCCAGCTGGTAATAGCTGCACTGGGGATCTGACTTTGTTTCTCCTGTTTATCCTATTCCCTCCTCATCTCCCTTTCTACAATTAACTGGACAGAATACCTAAATAAATATTTTTTCCTCTTTATGTAATTTCCAATTATTTGTTTTAAATTTCTCTTCACCTTTGACCTTTCATTCTCTACACAACATTTGCTTCTGAGCTGTGTGCTACACATTTGACTTGACACTGTTTTACCTTTAACATTCATTGAGTCCATTCAACCAATGTCTTCAAAACATCTTTATCTGTTTGGATTTAGACCACTGCTTTCCAGAACTGTTGCAAATATCGTCATCCTTCTTTCTTCTCCAGAACTAAGGCATTTTCTACTTCTAGATACACTGGAGCAAACTATGCTTTTATTTATTCATGTTTATACTTGAGTAACTATTGATTCCAGTCACTATCTCACTAGGTCATTCAGACCAAAGTTTGGCAAGACTAAGTGCAAAAAAGCAAAATAGACAACTGTAGTTGGAATAAAACCTCCAGATAATTATTGGAAGAAGAATAGTTACTAAATTTGGTAATTTAGGATGACATATTTGGTATTTGGGAATTCATCTTTTAAGCACTATCAGATTTTCTCTAGTAGCTGGTATTACCTCATCAAAGTCTGCAATTATTTCATTCAGCAAGCGCAGACATTCTACTCCTTGGTTATTCATCTCAGTCTGGGAATAGAAATCAGCAAATCCAGGAATAGAAGCAAACATCACACCAACAGCATCATAGGACTGAGAGTATAATTCCTAAAAGAACAATGAAGAAAAATGAGTTGAAGTGGTAATACCAGGAAGGGAACATAATTGGCTGAAATTAAAATAGGTTTCTTATTTTTTCCATGCCTTAATATCTGAGTTTAACAACAGCATATTAAGTGTTAGCCAAGTTCAATAGAAGGAGGCTGACAGCTCTCACATTCTTATCATGGATTATATGCAGGGTTTGCCCTTTCTTTGAAAGCCTGATCTTTCTGCTTCTAAGGTCTTGGGCTACAACAGCAGAAATGAAATATAATTTTTCATTTTTATTTATATGGGTAACCACTTGAGAAATGAAGGATTCATTTGCAAGTGTGAATACCAGAAAATCAAACACTGTTAGGCAAGTAAAAGGAACCCAATGTTTTTTATTTATTACTGTTTAAGTCTGTCTCATAAATGTTTGCATTTGACAATATATTTCTCAATTTGTTGATTAACAGGGATCAGATGGGACCATTTAAAGTGTCTAATATGACCTCCTTGTAAAGACTTCTCTCAGTTACCACATTTTCTGGTGGATAATTTATAGTCCACACTATTGCAGCTCTTTACAAGTTTGTTTATTCACAGGTTTTCAGAGAGCCCTTACTCTGTGGTAAGCAGTGGTTCTTCTACAGTGACTATGGAGCTATTTGGTTGCCTGGCTTTGGGAGAGTTTCCTACTATTACAATTTGAAAGGAGTGGGAGACAGAAGTGAGGGTGATAATGGACAGAAAGCAGCTTATAAGGGATCGGAAACAGGAGGCTGTTAAGATAAAGTATGCCCTGGGATAAGCTTCCACTTATGTTATTAATATAATTCACTCTGGTACTGAATGGCAGATTTATTTGTATACAGGTTCTTGCCATTATATATGTGAAAATGTAGTCAATTTTTATCTGAACCCAACTGAATTTTTAGGAACAAAGCTAATTTCAATTTAAAAAAATGCCAAAGACAGAGATCCCCCACCACTCCTGGTATGCTTTTCTATTGGCTAATATACCACAACCACATGAAATCTCTTTTGTTACTTTTTTTTTTTCCTAGCTTAATCTTCTGTTGTTTTTCCCAATGCCAGATACTTTCATTTCTGTCCTGTGACTTCTCTTACGACATTCTGACCTGGAGCAGCTGCTTCTCAATGTTCTTGTTAGTGTGCTTGAGGAAATTTTAGTGCTTTGGTGTCATGATAAAAGGATTTATTGCTGGATGCCATATACCTCCACAGGCTCCTCTTCTTCCTTAATCCTGCTTCTCCCTAGAAAATCATCCTGAACTCTTGCCTGTACTTTGCTATACTGCTAATGCTGTTGCTTATCTAGACTAACAATGCATCTTACAGTAAAAGTAGGAAAATTCTGCTAGTTTCCAGAGAAAATGCAGAGCTTTGTTTGAGAAAAAACCTGATTGATGCCCTTCCTGCCCTTAGAGTTTTGTTTTTTTTACTGAAGAACATCTGCAGGGTCATGGAAGCCGTACTCTAAGGACATTCTTATTCTCTTTCATAGGTATAGAAAAAAGTAATGCACAGGTTGGTTCACGGAAGCTTACAGAAGACTAGACATTATGTGCTAGGAGAAGCATATATACACTCAGGCATACTCTTTCTTCAGATCATAAAGACAGAAAACAACTGGCTGAGTCTTCAGCTGCTCTGTTTTTCTATTTTTGGTAAGAAGCATCAAGACAGAAATAATACATCCATGAGAAAATGCTTACAGTACACATTTGGGAATTCATTTTTTGAGAGCAGAGAAATTAACTTAATGGCCAGACATGAACTGCAGGATTGATTGTATTGAAATCTGGTAGATGTTACAGCCAGCCAGCTCATACATAAATCATCCCCAACTATACTCACTCTGGAAATTGCCTTACAAAAAACAGGGGTGGTGGAATTGAATTCAGTGGCAAATTATTGAAGCATCAGCAGTGATCCATGGGGCATCTGTTTGCTTCTGAAGATTATTATGCATGTGAGTGTATGTGAATGAATGTTTAAGAGAGAACACATATTCCCTGAAAATCCATAATGCAGATATGTCAGAATGCACTCATGTTTGGTACTGGGATCTGCTCCATTTGCAATGAAGCATTTTAACCTAGTTGCTTTCACATACACATTTTCTCCTGTGCAGAGCAGTGTTTTTATGGCAGTTTAATAGCCACAGAGTGTAAAATTCCTCAAGAGGTTGATTTCTAAAGTGCTTTTTCTTGTAGCTTCTCACTATGTTATCCTTCCCTAGGTGATGTTTGAGATCACAGCTTCAGAACACAATGATTCCTTATGGTGCAGTCTAATTCATCTGGTTACATCTATTTCCAAAATCTACAATCAGAAAAGAGTAGCCTTGATTCCTTTTTGCTGCACAATGAGTAGATAAGTCAGTGCTGGCAACCTGATTTTCACAACGCTTGTAACCTAATAATTATAAAAGATTATTCCAACATTATATGAGAAAATTCCAGTTTCATCATACAATAGCCTTTATTCACAGATTTGCATTTGCACAGATATGCCTTTGCCATATTTCAGATAAGGAGTAAGTGGCTGCTGCTTTCAGAAAGAAATTCTGGACTTTCCTTTATCCCTTCAGTGTACTACAACCACTCTTTAGAAAGTGAAGGAACCTCTGAAGATCATCTAATACAGTTCCCACTAAAAGCAGGGCCAAGTAGGTCAAGTGTCTCATGGCCTTGTTCAGTTGAGAGTTGAATACCTCCAAGACCAGAGGTTTCACAGCCTCTCAGCCTTGATGCAATGACCACTTTCCCAGGGATTTTTTTTCCCTTTTATCTAACTATGAGTCTTCTGTCTGCAACTTGTCCTTCCACTTGCACGCTGGAGAAGAGTTTGACCCTGTCTTCACTATAAACACCCATTAGGTAGTTGGAGACTATTATGAGATTCTCCTTCAGCCTTTGCCTTTTAAGACTGAATGAACCCAGCTTTCTCACCCTCTCCTCTTATGTCATGTGCCCCAATCCTCTAATCATCTTGATGGTCCTCCACTAGACTTGATCTAGTGGGTCCATGTGTCTCCCACTGGTGAGCCTGTGTCTGGAAATACCACTCCAGATGTGGTCCTAGGAGTGCTGAATCTTTTACTTGAAAGCATGAAAGTTTTTTTAATGTGGATCTCATACCAAACATTTGCAGTATTTGTGTCCTATCAAGAACTAAGTTCTAACGATTTCTAACAGATCTGTTTTTCTTTTGCTAATTAGATAAAAGTGTCAGAAATAAAACTGATACATACTTCATTATCCCGATCCTTCTCCAGGAAGTGACGGGCAACGTGACTGGGTAAAATATTCCGCAGCATATTTTCATTGTGCTCCCTTAACTCCTTCATTTCATTGATTTCTTCTTTTGCTTGAACACGCCACAGAAAATCCAGCCTTGCTGTGTATTCAAGCTGTAGTTCCAGAAAGAAAAGAAAGAGGCAAAAATAGAACCTGACAAGTTAAGAGTAGAGATTGTATTGACATCCTGGCTCCTGCTGCGTAACTGCCTTCAGTGCTGCTGAGGATCTTTGACTCTGAAAGAATTTTATTTAATTGCCAGAAAAAGAGATTATTTATTTGCCTTGTGTGTGGTGAGTGTCTCAGAGCAAATTTGGGCAATACAAGATGGTCAGTGGCTAGAAAATTTCATAAAATTATTTTCCTTTTAAACACCTTTTGATTAGTTATAATTTTATATATCTTTATACATATAATACCTTTATTGGTAGATATAGATATTGGTATGAAATAAATATGTTCCCCTTTCATATGTGTTTTCAAATGAAATGGGTTTCATGAGAAAATAGCACAAGAGTAATTCTAAACACTTTGCAGAGACAGGTAGTTTACTTCTCAAGGATGAGCAACTTTCAGCAAAACTAAATATAAAAGTCCAACACATTGTCAAAGAGGACTTTCAGGTCTGTGGCACCAAAATGAGGTATTTCTACTGTTGAGGAATGCAGTTATTTGCAGTTTAAGTCTTTTAAATGACAGTGAAAGACATTCTGTTTGATATCCCCTCGAATACTCTGTCTCTGGTGTATTGTGCTGTCACAATTTAATACACAAGCAGTGGCAGTGCCTGATACCCTCAGCTACAAACCAAAGTTAAATGGTTTTCAGTCCTGTATGTGTACAGGACAAAAAGATTTCTGCACAGCCCAGATTATATATGCATATAAATGTATATATTTTATATTTTAATATATCTATCTATAAATGCATATTCATATATACATAAATGTTAACTGCTAGCTGAAGTGGGGAACATGTCAAAACATCACGTTGTTTACCCGAGAGTCACATGTGTTTCAGCACATGGACAAGATCAACACTGCCAGAACTTTTGGGTCCATTACACTGAAAGGGAGTTTCAATCAGGTTTTAAGGCATGTGATACTGTACCTTGCACAAAGGATGACTTATTAAGCTACAGCCTCATTGAAAATGAGGGAAATATATATCTGTGTGCAGTAAACTGAAAGAAAAAATGTATTTCTGAGGCTTGCAATGCTCTAACCAGAGATAGTAATCAAACACCCAGCAGAGAAATGTATTATATTACAAACAGATGAATTTTACAGTTTTTGCTGACAGGTGCTGGGATTAAGGGAGTGGTTGGGATATAATTCATGCACCAAGCTGAAATAAAGGGCAAGCCTGCAGTGGGTGGGAGTGCCTAAGGGGGGTTTCAGGTACTGTTTAGTGTCTCATCTTGTTCACATTTTTTGTTACCAGCAGTGCCCAATGGCAAACTGTTCAGAAGAAAATGTGAAGCACCTTGCAGGGGGGCCAATAGATTGACTCTATCAAGCTCCAGGGAGCTTTCCTTCTTAAAAGCTGAAAGTGACCCTGGCTTGATATAAACTTCCAAAGCTTGTATGCAATTTAGCAGTGATTTACTTTCTCTCTGGATGCTATTGCCACCTTCATATACTATCTTTTCTCTAGTTCTAACATTTTGATCTTCCATTTTGTGACTATTAAATCCCTAAATTAACTGCATCTAGAAAACTGTCAGGAAAAAGTATTTTTTAAATACTTTTTTCAACATTTTTCAGTTTCCTTCCCCCTCCCTTTTGTGCTAGAAGACAGAGCCTGTACCAGATCATAACTGACTTTTATCTCTACCAGCTGACTAAGAAGGCAACATTGACTACAATTTTGCAAAGAGTTCTAAAGGTATTTTACAGATTGGCTTGGAGCAGAAGCTGCTAGTGGATTCTGAGGTCTTTGATGCTTCAGGTCACAGAATCACAGAATCACTCGGTTGGAAAAGACCTCTGAGATCATCATGTCCAGCCGTTCCTATCTACCCCCTAAACCATATCCTTAAGTACCTCATCTACCCGCTCTTTAAATACATCCAGGGATGGTGACTCCACCACCTCCCTGGGCAGCCTGTTCCAGCCTCTGACAACCCTCTCAGTAAAGAACTTCCTCCTTATCTCTAACCTGAACCTCCCTTGGCACAACTTGGTGCCATTTCCCCTTGTTCTATCCTCCATCACCTGGGAGAAGAGACCAGCACCCACCTCTCCACAACCTCCCTTTAGGTAGTTGTAGATATTTAATGCTACAATAGGAGCTTTGCAAAAAAACCTGTAGCACAGTTTTTCACAGCTGATTTTCTATGCTGCAGTAGAGGAAAATTTCACATCTCTAAGCCTAGCTCAGAATAGCAGCAGATAATCCTTACATTTTAGATAATATCATTCTGGTTATTTATAATCACATTGTAACATGAAATATTTTTCTTGCATCATCAGTGGATAACTGAGATAACACAATTCAGAGATAAAATGGTGTGCTACATATGAGGTTTGAAAACAGAATATTATAAGAAGATGCTTTACTAAATTCCAATATTTGTTAAAACTAACAAAATTATAGGATTGCGTTTGAGGATTATTTTTTTATTGTGTAAAGAAATGTCCCAGGGCACAGTGGTGCCAATAAAAATGACTGTATGCAACATAAATCTTGAAATGTCCAGGTTCTGTTTCCCTTAAACACCTCAGATAAGGCTTGTGTAGAAGACATTTAAACTCAGAACTGTCATCCTGAAGAACATTGCCTGGATTCTGCCTAATCCTTGCTCTATCTAAACTCCTTTAGTGTTTTCTTTCTTAGTACTTACTCTCACTTTAGATGATTCCCATTCTTTATATTTGTATAATTGTTTATGTTAAGAATCATTGGGAATATTATAAGAGTTGTCTCAAATTTGGAATATTCAGTTCTTATTTGTTGTGCATCTTTCTTAAATGGGCTTTATGTCTTGATAAAGATATGTCAAAACGAATTGTTTTTTGTCAAACTTAAATCTGGGCACAAAGCACCTTTCAATCCTTGCTTCCCCTACTCACTCATTCCATATTTACTCAAAAAGAGGACAATAAGGAATAAAATCATTAGAATATTTAGGTCTCGCCTTCTTTTTGCTCTCCTAAGGAAGAAATGGAGCCTGTAGGTACCTGCATGAATTATAAATATTGTAATATTCTAATAAAGTGTATAATAAAGTGTGTAATAAAGATCCTAATGCTCTTAAAGGGAAAATCTTTAAGCAATTTGAATATGCAGGACAATGTCTAAAGGCAATCATGGTTGCAGCTTCCTTTAGTGCAGTGGTCCTGTTTGTCTTTATGTGAACAGAAATCTGCCTGAAGTCAACATGTTTGACATGCAGCAGTCTAGAGGTTGCCAATCAGAAATGCTGTGGAGAAAATACCCTGCTTTAGGTGGCTTTTACTCATTGCATTTGTTGTTTTAAATCATAATTTTTCATACTTCACTCTCCCTGCGCGCTGTGTATGGGTTCTTGAAATACCAGGTTTCTCAGTTCCTCTTTGAGGATATCAGTCCTAAAACTTTGGGGCCCCTAAATTCTGGTTATGATCTAGGTCCACGTGAAAGAATTCTTGCAAGTGGTTCATGACCCAACGAAGTTAGTGCTTATTTCCTCAAATCTGGTGGCTTTCCTCTGTGAACACTAAGCTATTTCATGAGAGTTTTATTATTCACTGTTTGTTATTCCCTTTCTTCATTTTGGTTTTATGCCTACTCAAGTGCACTGAATCAGTCAGATGCTACTGCAATTGTACATGTACCTAAGATAAATGAAGTCCTGTTTATTCCCTCAATTTCTATTAGAAAATGCAATAAAGTTTGTGTATTGCTGAATATAATATTGCACATGTTCTTTAAGAATGCTAGGCAGTGTCAGATGGGGGCTTTCTTTAATCAGATTCTGCATATGGTTTATTAAATTGTTAAAGGTCATATGCTCAAGTGTAAAAGAGGCAGTTGGTATTTTGAAAGTAATTATTGTCACATCCTACAATTGCAAATGATACAGGGAATGGTTAAAGCAAATGTTTGCATTACCTGTTGACCATGATAAAATACGGCTAAAAGGAACATTGCCATCAGTAGTAAAGATGCCTCCTTTGTACCCAGGAAGTCTGTGCTGAAAAAAAAATCCAAAGTAAAATATAGTTATTTATTTGTCAGTGTCATAACTGTTCAGAATTTTCATAATGCACCCTGGCACTTTTTGTTGTCCTTTAAAAATCCTCTGTATTTGAAAATTTAACTTAGGAATAATTAGTTCAAGAGAACAGGAGTGTAACTGGAGTGCTCCTTGTTTGGAGACAAATGTATTTACCTCAAGAGGCTGGTCTAGATGATCCTTGTGGTCCCTTCTAACCTGGTATTCTATGAGCCTATGTATTAAATAACTATACTGTAGCCTACAGTTGACACACAGAAGTTGATGAACTTTCTCTTTCAAGTGTGATATGCAAGCTGGGTATCAGTCATTCTCTTTTCCTGGGAGGTGGTAAACAACCATGAACGTCACAGTCCCTGCAGATTAGAAGAGGTGCAAAAAAGGTGGGGAAAAGTTGAGGCTGGAGCTGAGAAAGTAAAACTTCCAGACTGTGAAAGTAAAAGCCCAGTGAATGAGCCTAGAGATAAAAGAGATAGGTGAGTGAAGGAAGGAGGTGTGGATCAAATGGGAATAAAAATATGGCAAACAGAGATTAGGACTGGTTTTACTGAGCCACAAAGAGGAGCACAGAGAAGAAATGTCTGCCTATGACAAGAGAAGTAAAGGAAACTCTTGCAGACAGTAGGGAAGCAAAGAAGATGAGCCAAGAAGGTACTGGCTGTATGAAACCTGCTCTATGAAATTGCTGACATGCTGTGTGTGGATAATGTAGAAAGTGTGACAAAATAAAGTGGAAGAGGTCCAGAGCAGTTAAAAAGGGTTTCAAATCTGAAGATAAAATACAGTTATGTGGAAAGATGACCAAACTGTAGAAAGTGAGTATCTTTGTAATATTAGGGTTTTTTTTAAAAAAAAAGCCTAAAAGAAGAGGCTGGGACACAGGTAGGGTCAATATTACAGTAAAACAAAAGAGAGAAAAAACAAAATTTGGAAGCAAATTGCCCATGAATACTTGGCGATTATGCTGTTGAAGGGAGATGAGGAAAGATGAGGAAATTTTTTAGAGGTGCTTAAAGCTTGAAGTTGTGAAAAAGTTAATAAAGGAGTAAATAAGGAGTGGAAGTTTGAAGAGACTTTGAGACACTCACCTATCTACCTTAAGAATAAAGCAAAGTCCAGACCCTGAATCCATTTTCCCTAGTAGTTGTGAAAAAAAGATCAGATTATATTTGTCAGAGGAGGCCTCCTATGACAGAGAAATTAGACAGAGAAAGAGCAGAGCTTTATGGAGACTAAACCAAAAGGAATCTTTCTAGTGAGACCACTAACTGAACTGACTTTGTGTGTCTAATGAAGAATTTACTGTAAGGAAATGTGCCACTATGAGATGAGACATCAATATAGAGCAAAAAAACAGGCAGGAGACATTTTAGTTATTGTCCTCGTTTGAGCTAAATAGAATTATTTTTCTATTTAGTGATTTTACTAAATCTGCCCAGCCGTAAACCATGACAGTTATCTGCAATTTTTTGTGGATTCAAATGTTTCCCATTTTGAAGCTGTCTGAAATACAACCTCCCAAAGATTTCATTCCAGAAGGTCCCCTTGCACACTGGGTAAGGGCAACAGCCTCAAGCATCTTAGTTGTGAACTCAGCTGATATTTCATATAGTGGTAATGTAAATATAGCCACAAATATATGAGCTAGAACAGTTTTGCAGGGAGTTGCAAAACCTTTTAGTCAACATAAGTTTCTGGGCACACAGTGCTGAACCTCATGCTCCCTAATGTCAGAGCTGAAGTGCAGGTCCTTGTCAGGAGTGTGGGGCATCTCAGCTGAGTTCCCTATGTCCTGTGATGTTTGGCTGGTGTAGAGGATATTCCTGGCTCTTTCTTACTCTTCTGTGATAAAAGTCACTGGAGAGTTTTATCAGCACAGGGAAGAGAAACTACTCTGAATTTTCTAAGATTTTCACACAAGAGAGGATCTTTCTTTACCATGCTTGACTACTGACAGATATTAAAAACAATGCTCATGATTTCTACTTCTACTTACTTAGCCAAAATATTGCTTACTGCCACTTGTCATATTTTCTGAGGTCTGCTGTGAATATGTTATATGACATATTATCAGCCTGTAGGAGCGTAACATCAGAAAAAAAGAATTACATCCCAGATCTTTAGTATCTTGCAACTCTGGGAAGCTAGCAAGGAAAGATACAGGTGCAGAGCCTTACTATGTGTAAAGATGTGGCTGTTGTGAGAACTAATTGTTCTGCAAATCCATGCTTTTCTGTCATTCTGAGGATCTTCATCTGGCACATATTTACAAGCATAAGCAACTGCAATAATAAATTGGTCAGCTGTCAAAGACAGTAGAAGTGTTTTTCTGAGTGAGCTAAATCACTGCTGCTCTAGATTCTGTTACTGCAACACTTGGTGCACCTTGGACTCTGCAAATTACTGTGGCTTTTCTGTCCTCCACTTCAACTCCTCTTCAACTCCTCTTGTTAGGCAGAAAGCCTGGAAGGAGGAATCTGTCCTTCAAATGCAATCCTACAAAATGGGATCATCCCTGTATTCCTTATATCTTTCAGAACTGCACGTTATAGTTTGAAATTTATACAGTTAAAATCCTATGCCTAAAATATTAATTGTTCACTCCTGTTTTCTTAAATTTAGTGGAGATTTTCAATCAGTATCTCTGGAGTTTCCAAGAACAGAAGCAACCCATGTATATGCACTGTAATGAATATTTTAAGCAACATGGATAGACTATGGGAGACATAGAGATAAACCCTCCTCAATATTTCCATGTCTTCATGAATGAGCATTTTAATAAAAAGGCCTGAGAAAGAATCACATTATAAATATTTTTGGTTTGGTCATTGCCTCTTGCAGCCATCACTCCATACTTAGTTATGGTGCTATCCAGTATGTGAACACTCTGGCAAGACATGACCCATTACCTTACTAAAAAACAGTTCCTAAAGGGGACTGAGAACACTTACTCTCCATTGTGGTTGAAATTGTCATATTGCAGAAAAAGGGAAGCATAAATGGTCTCGGTCAGCAGAGAATAGATCGCAATCATGATGAGAAGTACTGCCAGCTTCAGGACAGAGTTGAGACGAAGAAAGACTGCACAAGTCACCATTGCCAGCACACCAGTGAAGACAAAGTACTGAATAGAAAAGAACAGTGGTTACTTTCTGTGATCAGTGACTACATATCCACTTCATAAATACCTACATAAATGATCAAATGATCAGAAGTTTAAAAAAATTGTGCTGGATTTTAGTACTCAGCTAAGTCTTTTTAAGGTGTAGGCCACTTTGAAAATAAGGGTTTTGCCAAAATAGAATGTGAAACTACGTATTTTCTATTTTGCATGGGACCTCCATGTTAGCAGAAATCCTCCTCTGTACTTTTCCATTGTATTAGAATGGAAAAGGCATCCTGTATATTGAAAAGAGGAAAGGGACAGATGCTGCGTGTAGTAGTTTGCTAATGAAAACTCAACTGAAAGAAAATAACTTACATTCCTTTGCATTCTGAACTTCCACAAGACCCACATTAGTCAGAATGGGAGAATCATATTCCTGTTTTAATTCTTTTCCCATGCTACTCAGAGGATAAAACCACAGGTCTGAGTGGGTTTTATTTTTATTTTTAATTTTTATTTTTAATATTACAGATCTAGCTTAGTTCATTACTCTCTTAGAATGTGATGCCTGGAAGTTTTATTCATATCTCATTTTTTAATCTTTTCATTGTCTCATTTTTCTCAATGATTAGTCATCTGTCAAATGCAATCCCTGCAGCTGATACTGGATATAGAGAGACAATCATGGCCATGAGCTATTCGGATTTAAAATAGCGACATCGACACTCACAGTCCAAATGTAGTTTAAATTAACTCCTATCATACATCTTTAGGAGAGATAGCATTCATTTTTCTGAGTTCCGTTTTTCTTTAGCACAGTGCCTTGTTAGGAAAGTCTTTATCCCTGCAATTTGCAGAGTACTGCTGGCAGTATTATGCCACTGCCGTATGACTTTCCAAGCAGCATCCTTCTTTTAGCTACACACGAACAACCCATTGATTTTTGTTACCAGCTTGCTCATCATAAAGAAGATTTTTTTTTTGTTCCAAATGCAAATTTAAAATAACTACAGCAGAATGACTGCTGGTTTTGCTGTGTAAGAAGTATTAGTCTCCATTAGATTCCTATGAATTAAGTGGTATGTTTTATTGCAGTAGGTGCACTGAGTCATTACTGGATGTGTTTCCAGCATAAAGGGTCTGTGTGAAGTTCAAAGATTGAAACTTGATTGTAATGCCTCATTAGTCCACAAGATTAATTCTTTCTGTAACCCGCCTCTGCTTTTCCTATCAGCACATGGACAGATGCAAAGGTTCAGCTTCACGGTGTTGTTGAGGCCCCTGGCTTCACCACCAGTACACAGGTCACTGATTCCAGGTAGTGCTTTGTCCATCTGTACCACAGATTCAAAAGTACCCTCAGAATTACCTCAGGATAGGAACAGATGTCTGTAAAAGATGCAGATGAATTGAACGTCTGGTTCTTCAAGGCTACTGGTTTGTCAAAATCACACCATAGCTGTGAAGAAAGAAAACAAAATCAGGGCTATATTGTGCACTGGTGACTAAGTGCTCGTGTGGCTGGCTGGGTTCAGGAATGGAACTGGCTGACCATGGCTCTCCATGCCCTCACTGGCATTAAGGACTAACTGGGCAGTAAGAAGACATACTGTGGGGATGAAATGGAAAGGGGGGAGCTATTCACACTGCAGACATTCAGCATCCGCTTGGCCTTCCTATGTTCTCGTTGCCAAAAGTGAAAGATGAGCTTCTCATCTTTCACTTTCATCTTTCATGCAAGAGAAATTTCAGAGGACTGATGTTGAATTCTTAAGAATTACCCTCTCAAAATATTTATACTTTGCTATAAACTGTAGACAAAATTATTAAACTGGGAACATAAAATCAGATTGCATGTGTGCACTTGTTTGCAAGCAGTTTTTTACTGCTGTGCTGCTATGGAGAGTCCTTATCCTTTTAGATGTGGAACAAAATCCTGTGGCATCATGGAAAATTGGATTGTGCCAAAATGTAATGTGGTCCCAGAACTGCAACTGTGATGCCTAGAATGACAGGGAATGAAAATTCATTCATGATAGAACAGTCTTGAGAATGTAGTACTCTGCCTTTTGCTGCTATGACCTGCATTCATTTCAAAGGTGTTTCAAACCAAGTATATTAAATATAAACAAAAGAGCAGTGTTGAGCTGTAATGCATCATGGTCTTAGAACACAGGAAAAAGATTATTAATGATTTCATATTTTGACAGTTAAAGCAGATGGAGGCTCCTGTTACATGTATTAATCCAATCTGGATATTTATACTAGGTCATTTCATCAACCCGGTGCGTACAAGCTAGTTCCCCTGTCTTTCCAACAGAGTTAGTTTGTTTAATGAGGCCCAATTTCTTATAATTAAATTCTAACAGATTTTGAACTTGGAACTCTCTAGTTTGTTCTTTCAGCAATTCAGTCATCTCTGCAATGGAGTAGCATTGTCTAGGTTGTCTGTGACAGCAGATAGTTAATGGTATCTCCTAAGAGTGCTGTACACCTCTCTGCAGGGCAGAGTGCCGTGAGAACCACTCACTCAATGGTGTCTTTTAAAAAGACCTTCAGGATCAGAAACTTTATTCTAATTTTGTATCAATAAGAATGGCTTTGATGTAAAAACCCACAAGACTCATTTGCCCTCCTGGTGAAACCAAAGCCTTATGGCTCTTGTTAGAAAGCGTTTGAGACTTAGTACCCTCCACCTGAGTGCATTTGAACTCAGCAGATGCACATAGCTGCAAGGCTGAGCTGCATTACCTGTTCTTAAATGCATGCAGCAAACGATTATTATGGCAGAATTTTGACATATGAAATAATAAGGTTATAAGCATGTTATGGTTTCCTGTAGAGGTCAGAACTCTGTGACTCAAAACATTGCCATTCTAAACATATGACAATAAGTATAACTCTTAACTGCTTTATAGAAACCCACTGACCTGTATGACAGTAAAGAAAACTATATTTCTTTTGACTGTTTTTGGATTAGCCATCCCACAATATTGCACTGGACACAATCTAAAAAATAATCCACAAGTCAGGATAAAATCTCATTATGATCATATCCATAGCAAATTGGGTATGGATAGCCTGTTAGAAACCATCTTGTTTCAAGAGCAAGATTAATTCTACCAAAATATTTCCTGCCAGATTTTTGTCAAACATGATTTAAAAACCTCCAAATTCTAAAACACTCCTTAGTGATCTCTACTACAATGTACCACTGTCCTTATCTTCAGGAAGTTTTCAACCCTATTGAACTTCCTGTCATTTACCATATTTATATTTCCTCTGTAAAGACAGCAATAAGTGGCTACATTCTTCTTTCTCCTATCAGTGACTGCATGGTATCACTAAAAAGCCCAGACAGATATTGAGTCCTTGCATGTTGGCAACCTAAATTCAATCATGGGAGAATGACAGCAAGAGAATGCAATAAAATCTCATCTCTATTAGCAAAAGATTAAACAAACCCTTAAAGTACCAGACTTCAGCAGATTTATAACACATAACAATCATAATTATTATTAGTTATTACAGGATAATATTTGTTGCTGTTGTGTTGCTAAAGTTGCTATTGTTATTACTGTCAATAAATGCTTTCCTGGTCTCATCTAGAAAGAAATAAATATTTATAAAGAATAAAGTTCAGATGAAAAAACACTGCTACATCTATAGCCAAAAGGTGCTTCACAAGATGAAAGAGTGATGAGATATTTAACTTCTTGGCTCAGGCTTCAATACCTGCCAGGTTGTCTGACTTGATAATCTGCCTAATTCATGCAAAGCTGTCTTGTATTTTTGAAGACATCCAGATAATCAGGGCTCTATTGTTTTTGCATTTGTTTTGCACATGTTTTACAAAGACCCCACTGTTTTACCATGTGGCATTGTATAGATCCAGGCTTACAATATTCAGTTACTAATATTTTTATCTAACCACAGCTGCTAAGCATATCTTGGTACATGCATTTCCCCACTAACAGATATCAGATATGTGATGTAGATATACTGATGATACAGATATATTGATATATATCAGTATATATCAGGTATACTGATGAACATTGCTCTAGATTCATCATACTTTAGGGTCTTACTTGAGATGTGTATATTAGGAGCACAATTGAACTAAAATCCCTGTGTGGGCAATAGAGAGAAGAAAATTTCTTTACTGGGACAGGTGTGATAGAAAGAAAGAAATCTTAGGGTATGTCTGCACTGACTATAAAGTTGAGAGTGATTATGCCCATACTTTGGTACTTTATTGAAGATGAATCTGGGCTGAATGGGTTTGTCACACCACCAAATGAGCAAATGGTAAGGTATATTTAGAATTTACATTTTTAAACTTCTTTTTACATGCTGTTGTTATTGGATGTGCTTGACCTGCTCTGTCCTTTCTTTTAAGGTCTTTTCTGGGTTTATTGACACTTCTCATTTTTTTGGTAATCTAATTAATGAGGGAACTGTGAGATGAGTAATTTAATATCTAAGCATTACTTGGATTGATAGTCTTTAAGAAAATATATCAGCATGTCAGAAAATTACAAATGGTACTCAAAGGGTTGACAACGAGGGGGAATGGTTTTAAGCTGGAAGAGGATAGATTTGGACTAGATATTAGGAAGAAATTCTTTCCTGTGAGGGTGGTGAGACACTGGCACAGGTTGCCCAGGGAAGCTGTGCATGCCCCCCCCCTGGAAGTCTTCAAGGCCAAGGTGGACAGGGCTTTGAGCAACCTGGTCTGGTGTGAGGTGTTCTTGCCCTTGGCAGGGGGGCTGGGCTGGATGAGCTTTAAGATCCTTTCCAGCCTAAACTGTTCTGATTCTATGATATGTTTAACAGAATGTAGCAAAAGGGTTTTAAAAATAGATGATACTCACGAGGGAGAAATAATTAGATATTTCATAAATACATAGTTTAAGCAACAGATTGAATTTCCTGAAGCCGTGGTACTTTGCCTTTTATATTTAAATCATAGCTGACTTACAAACACAATAGTAAGCAAGTCCCGTAGCAAACTTAATAATTTATAAACCATCTTTTTCTGTATAATATTCCCTGGTTCCCTATAAAGCTTACAATATTGATGATGGCTCCAAGAAAATTAATCAGAATTGATGCAAATATAATGACATTCCTGGCCAGGTAGGTCTCATTAATCCAGCAGCAAGTTTTCCGGAGCATTAGGGGTAAACATTTGTAATCCTCTGCTGTCGTGATTAGCACAAGAGCGGAGTGCAGCATAATCAGAATAGAAAACTGAATGATCATTGGTATCACCCTAGGAAGAAAATAAAGAGAACCTAGCATTAAATCTAAGCACAATACCACTGCTAATAAAAATAAATATTTAAACAGTCAAGAATAAGAAAAATCAGTTGTTATAAATCCAAGATAATTAGTCCAGGGAAAAATAATGCAACAAACAAGCAAACAAAAACAAACAGAGAAAGCAAAGATTTGTTCATGTTCCATAGATCTACTATTGCTTCACGTGGTTTCTTGGTGAAGAAAATGCTGTTGAAAAAACAAGCAGAATTATGATCAAAGTATAAGATTTTGAAAACAGCATGCAAGCCTCAGTAAATCAGCTATGGCTTATATGTACGGCTCCTACTCTCAGAACCTCAAAATTAATGAGTCTTGCAGTGTAGGAGTCCAGAAAATAAAACAGGTTAAACAGATAACAAATAGAAAATGAAGCTGTAGTTACCAGATTTTTTTTCTTCTGGGACGTGTTTGAACTGCTATAATATATGTGTATAAAATGATTTTTTATAGTACTAAATTATATTACAGCACGTTTTGAAATAAAGTGTGAAAAGTATCAAAATGGAAGTTCAGTTCCCTAATGAACTGAAATAAGTTTAATTACACTTCAACTTCTTGGAGAGCTTCCATGGGGTAAGATTAGCTTTGACACCATTCTGATGATGTACCGTTGGTATGACATGTTATCTTACACTTGGGTCAGCATTTCACTCCAACAAGCTTTGTCAGTTTTGTGTGTGATTTGCATACAGGACAAAGTGGAGCTTCCCCAGACTGTCCTAACCTCTTCAGTGAGCTCATCCAGAAGTAAAGCTTGTTTTTGAAAGAAGGAATAATGTAGTCTGTAAAAACAAATCATATTATGAAGGGAAGAGTGAATAAAGAGGAAACAAAGATCGAAGCAAGAGCCACAGATTTCATCCTGTGCAACCAAAAGTTTTGTGGGAAGTGTCAGGACTTGCCGAAATTCCCAAGGCTACCAAGTAGAGACAAAATACAGTGATGCCTTGAGAGCAGTCTCTGTTTGTGGAAATACACAGAAAGCCAAGGGAGAGACAGTCAATAAAGCCAGAGAAAAGCTGAACAATATGTTCATGGAGAACTGGTCAAAATAGTCAAAAGGTCTTGTCAAGACAGCTGTGTAGTTTAGGATACGATTCATCTCACTGCACAGCAGTATCTTGTTCAGGCTGAGGGCACCCTGAGATCCACTGATTGACCTGTTCTCCAGTGCCTATACTTTGACCTTGGGTTATAAACACTGACAGACAGTTATGTGAGATTCATTCCTTCAGTTTCCCACACTACAGCAGTAATTCTGCAATAGACTTCTTGCTTTACAAAGCCAAATGACTGAGGTCCTCTTTGGAACTGGTAGTTTCTATCTATATCTCAGATATATATAGACAGTCTATATGTGCAGACACAGCCTACCAATTCTGCAGACCTAGCATGACCTAGCTCTAAATGAAACCAAATTAAGCTTTCAAAAAGATTAGGGTCAAGCCTGAAGAGGTCAGACCTGAGGACACTAAACATGAGTTCTTATTTTGGACTGCCAAACGCTACATGTAAGACACAGTGCTGTTGAATTGAGGTACTATAAAGGGAGCATCGAGGGACCTAAATCTGGAATATCAATCCAAACTGCAGCATAACCTGTTTAGGTAGCTGAGAAACTATGGCATTGTATTCGTTCATAATAAATATAGAGGCAACAATAATTCTTCCGCTGTATCTGTTCGTTGAACATTGATGTGTTTGTCTCTTGCCTAAACCTGGATGAGATAAAAGCAAAACTGAAGTCTGCACATCTATGACCTCCTAGAGAATCAGCACGGTATCTGTCCTAAGATTTTGTTGGCAGCATGCTAATAGGATCAAATACAGCAGAAGATATAGCCAAAATTAGAGAAATAGGAACAGTCATAATACTCTTCTGTTTATGAACTTCTCCCAGAACTAGGACACCTGAGTTGGATCCCCTCTTCATTCAAGAAGAGATTCAAGACCAAATGCTTTTCTTTCTAGGAGTTCCCTTACTGTCAAAATCAAGTGAAATTTGAAATGGAGCTTTTGTCTTCCCTCTTCCTTGTGTACAGTCACAAATCAAGAGTTGAGTCAGAAGGGAAGCTGACGTAAAACAGAAGATGCAGATGCTTAAATGAACAACAGTTTGAAATCTGTTTTTCTCCCCTCACAAGAATAACCCAGTCAAAAACTGACAGAAATGAGTAGTTGGCAGCCTACTCCAATATGATCTATTGCCCGTGTGAGCTTATAGAAAGTTCATTGCAGGAAATGAATCAAACTCCCAGACCTCTCAGATGGAGATGAATCACTGTAAGGCTGGCAATGGAACTTAATGGCTTCATAGAGGATAATTACAGCAGAAATATGGCATTAATTTATGTCACTTAAAGTAATTTCCCCAACTCAATATTTAAAGAATGAAAACTATTGCAAAGATTTTTTTTAATTTAGTGATGTGCCTGGCCTGTCAAGGAAAATCATTAATGGATCAAATATTTGTCCTGCGGGAGACAGATATAAACTGAGATAAAATTCTGAAACTCCTATACACAGCAGATACAATGATAGAATGATGATTCCCTTCTTTAACACACAGACTAAGGCAACCTGTCTGGGAAATTCCCTGAAGATCCTTAATAAGATATGTTTTATAATTATTTAAATAATGGGGTTTTTTCACTGAAGTTCCAGAAATCCCTACAAAAGACTCAGTTCAGAAAAATACTCAAAGATGCACTTAAGCGAATACAAAGTTACATCCTTGTTCAACAGAGCTTTGAAGCATTTATTGAAAAGCATTTAAATATGTTGTTAGGAAAGGGTAAGTTACCATGAGTAGTGTGAATTATAGTTTGTTAGCTGTTCCATGGAAATTATGTACTACTGTGGTAGTTTACTTCACTGATATCTATTAGAGGTATAACAGATGAGTATGCAGTTATATCCAAGGCTCTCTGAATCCAAATCCTGCCCAACTTGGTGATAACTTGTTCATGAGCTCATACCTTGAATTGCTTTTAGAACTGGAATTTCAGAAATTTGAACTTCCAGATCATTTCCTCACTCAATATGTTTGAGCGTATTAAAACTTTCTCACTCAAAGCTCCTCATCCTGTTATTTTAGGGTTACTCATCTCTTGACCATGTCATATTTAATAGGCATGCTTTTTTAAGACTGAAACATATTTTTTGAAGCAGAGTATCAGAACTTGACAAACGAAGACCAAAACATGCCGCTTTAAATCCTGACAGTAATCTTCAAATCTCAAAGAATGTAACAACTGCCATAGAGCACCCATGTGGCTCCAAATCTTCTCTCACAAAAGGGGCAGTGGGTAAATATCCTTTCCCTAAATATCTTCCCAGGTTCCAACAATCAACCATTAAGGGCATTCTTGAGGCCAACATTCCATACTTTTGTTTAAAAGGATCTGTTGATCTTATCTTGTAGGAATTAATCTCATCTTTATTTGAACCTATTTATATTTACAGCCTCTTTAACATTCAGTGACAAAAAAAGTCCACAAAGCATTTCTGAAGTGCAAGGAAAAACATAAGACTACTGTGCAAGATGGGAAACCAGGAAGTGAGACAGCTACTGGCAATGTGGTTATGTGACTCCTTCTCCCCCAATTCCAATGGCACTATACACTCTAAAAAGAATTAACAAAAAAAAAAGTGTGCAGATAGAAAAAATATCATGCTTTTTTCCTGGTATAGAAATGATTGATATAGCAGCAGAAATCTTTTTGGAAAACAGGTTTCGTTAATAAGATCCATAAATCTTCTTGTACATACTGAAAAAAACCTCATCTACCAGAGGTGAAGAATTTCATATGTTTATTGAGAGAAGAACTTTAAAAAAGCTAACAAACTTACTAGTATTAGAGCACTATAGCACATAAGGAACAGCAGAAGGTCAGGTACCACTTTGGGTACTTTCTCAGCTGAGAATTACAAAATACCTAGGACATCACGGCTGTGGAGTGCAGTTACCTGCCTGCATCTAGCCACCATTTTAATATTATTAGACATAAACATGGTGAAACAGCTCTTCTAGAAGTGAACCAAGAAATATTGCTGCATTACTGCAATACAATAAATAAATTATTTCTTATACAAATACTGTATTTTCAAGGTTATTCTACTGGCAGCCATAAGTTAACGTTCATCTGAGTGTTAGAAACTGCCTAAGAATTATGTTCATCTGGGCATTTACATTTTAACACTTGCTTTGCCAAAGACCAAATGGGACCAGGGGCATGTTCTAGTGGCAGTCATGTTCTTCTGGCTCTACTATGAAAACTGACCTTAGTAGTAGAAGACACTTTTGTGTTCTCACTATTAACTAGTAGACCAAAATACCAGCTGATGGGTTTGACTGTGTAAAATGTGGACACGGAGGTCTCAGCTATGTCACATTTTCATCACCTTGGCAGAAAATTGTTGCCTGGTTAGTCCCAGATAAAAGCAGAAGTGAGAAAAGATGCATCAGATCACCTCCTTGCTGCTTCTTAATGATATGAGATTGCTTTCCCCAGCTGAGCAATGCCTCTCATCAGAAATAAAGCCCAACAGAACGACTTTTTATGTAGCATGTAAGAAACAAAACCAAAACAATCACTGATTCCCAAGGCCACTTAGCAAAGCATCACTGTCATAAATCTGGATCGTGTTTTACTTCATCACTGGAAGCAGCAGGCCATATCCCGTCAAACTTTTGTAACCCAAAGTTTCCACGTATCTCAGTAGGAGTTCTGCTTAGATATGTAACAGCATAATGTCAGTAGATGCTGCTTTCTCACATGAAAACATGTAGCTGCAGGTTTTGTGGTACAAAAGCAGTTAATACTGAGAAAAAATGTGAAAAAATATTTCTGAACATTTTTGGCGGACAAGCAGATTTTAGAGGTTCATTCCACATCAATCCTAGAAATATTATCCCTCTGTTTCCCCAAGAGCACCTACAGATATAGATAGATATATTAATGTATTTACCTGGAAGAAGGAAGTAAGCTTTGGATAACGGTGATAAACACAAGAACTATAAATGCACACACCAAGTTTGATTTGAATACTTCATCCCGCATTTGAGAATACTAGAATTTAAAAAAAAAAGCAGAAGAGTAAATTAGCTGTTAAACCATGCAGTAGTTTCATAAACACTGATGCATATAGGAGACTTTGGGGATATTAACAGGAAGAGCTAATAAACTGATAAACCTGAGTTTGTTTTTAAAAATTACACACAATGAATAAATCATTAATAAGCCAGTAAAATACTTTTTCCAAGAGAGCAAAATTCTGTAATTTGCTGTACAACGCAGTTTTACTTTATTGCATCTTTTACACAATTATTTGCTTTAAAAATCCCCAGGTAGATGATAGGGGATTATGCTGCTGAGTAGAATCCTAAATACTTAATAGTATAACCAGAGAAACCATGGATTTCATCACCTGAAGCTGGCTATGTCTCTGCATGCATGGTGTCATGGAGGTTTCTTCCTGCTTGCCAAACTGAGGCCATTCTGTTTTATTTTTTACTTTTCATTTTTTAAAGAAAAGTACATAGTTTAGGACATTAAGACGTGGGTCATGATTTCTGTATCCTAACTTATCCAGAAGCTGTATAGAAACTTGGCAATATGGGCATTCTCGAAAGAAAAAATGAAGGTACTATTATGTAAAAGACCATGTGAGGTGTGTTATTATTATGATTTATTGCAAAAGTATTTTTCTCCAGCATATCAAACCGCTGAAAATGCTCACACATTGGCCTTTTATGGGAGTTGCCAAGAAAAGGAGTAATGAATATATCAGTGAATCACGGTGGATCAGTTAAAATGGAAACATTACCCAAGTCCTCAGCTGGTATTTATCACTGCTAATTCAGTTAAACTCCAGTTGTTTACAGCAGATGAAGATTGGTCCATATACATATTTTTGTAAATCAATTTATCGTATACTGATATCACTAAATTTTCTTCACCTAATAAAAAATCCCACAGATGCTTGCTCAGGTAATTTTTCCTCCTCTGAACAATAACTCAATTTTATTTATTCTCTTGCAGTTTTGAAGAAGCTAAGAGTTACATGTGCAGAACAAAAGGAAATCAGAGTCAAAGACATATCAGATATCAGAGTCTTTCTCCAGCAATTTGGAAATAAGGCAAACTGCAGTTATAAATTCCTAGAGAGCATTATAATAGACAAAAATTAAAACCAGTTAAGAAATGTATATCAGGACCATACATTGTGAGACTTCAGCTATAAATTGCATTTTATAGCTAATCTGCTCTTGAAGGAAGATCCTATCTAGACTTAGACTATGTTCACTACATGGACCTTCAGTAGGGACATCATCTCAGTTATAAACAGAAAAAGGCTTATCTCTTCCCTGCTCCCTTTTGTCATGAGTTGGAGAGGGTGTTTACTTGCTGGCCTCCCTAATTTTGATTCCTCCTCTGCTGTGATCATGCCCTATGTCTGCTGCTGACAGAAGCAGTGTCACATTGACATGATTTTCTATGGTGCTCACAGGCAACTTCATTTTGCTTCTGGAAGCACAGAGGCGCTGATCCTGATTTGATGTGCAGGAAAACAGAAATGCATCAATCTGTTTAAATAATGGACCAGAGCTTTTTTTCGTTGTGGCACAAAAAATACCAAAGAGAAAGAGAAAGGTGCATTCCTTAAAATATAATGTGAAAACCCGTAACTGTTCCTTAGGGAAATTGTAGCAAACTAACTGAATGAAACACAAACATGGAATTGCCTGCTATGTTGAGCATCATGTCAACAGGATGGATGCAGTGATCTAATCAGGTACAATGTTGTCATAAGAAATTGTTAGCATCTCTGAGGCAGCACAAACACCAAAGATAAACGCAGCACTTCTGTAGCAGTCTACCTCTGAATGACTTTGAGAAGTAATGGAAGGATAGACTAAGCCTCAAGGCACTTCCATAAGTATGGGAAGGCACATAGCTAACTAGACCCATGTAGAGAGGTTGGAAGAATTGTGATGTGACCTACTCTGCAATGAAAACCTTAGCTGCAGCCTCCTACAGACCTGCCTGCACTAGTGTGACCTGCTTATAGCATAGTGAAGGTTCACCCTGCTTCCCATTAAGATTGAGCCATTTACCTGCACTACTGGGAGGGCACTGTTTGTCTACTGGCTAGCCCAGCCAGCAAGCTGAAACTAAGCTAGCATAAGAAAGGCCAAGTTTCCTCTGCTAAGTAATTCTGCTTATTCCCCACCTTTCCTCTCTTTTCCCAGGACCTTTTGGAAGGGGAGTATTGGTAATACAACTGGCTTTACATGTTCACCTAGAGAAAGTGTTTGTTCACTGGGGAAGAAGGTCTTTGACCTTATCCTCACTGCTGCTGTTTGGCTTGGATAGGGCCTTACGGATGAAAACGGGGACCATGGGTTATTTTTTTTTTCCTTCAGAGTAATGGCGTTTGTGCTACTGGAAAAGCTTCTGCAGTACAGGGAAGGGACAGAAGAAGATGATGATGAACTCCTGAGAAGACCAAAGGGTAGACACAAATAGTTGTTGATCAAGGATAGGAAAGAAGACGCCGAACAGGCCTGGAGTTTGCTCAGTGTTTCTTGCAGACCTTCTTGCCACTAGAAGTTTCTGGGTTAAAGGAAAGAGGTGAGGCCCATGTCTCCAAGGATATAGCATGAAGGAAGGGCAATGTTTTTTTCCTACACATTTAATTTCTATTTATCTTGCCCATCAAAAATTCTGAAACAGAAAAATGCAGCTATTTAGGTCCAATATTTGACCTAAGAAAACCCGTACTGTGAAATTTAAAGCCCTTTTGATATTTTCAGTGTGCTCATCTCACAGAAAATATGTAGACACTTCACCTCTAAGCCCAGCCTGATTTATGATCCAAATACAAATATGCAGGAAGACTTAGAATATCTTTATACAAATCTTTACATTGGAAACTTTCCTTAACAAAAACCCTGCCAATATGTAAAATTCCCTGCCCTGTTACTATGCTTTTATGAAAGTACGTGGTACTGATCTTTCCAAGTCACTGCTATTAAGGTAGAACATTGTAATGGTATCTTTTAATTATTGGAAATAATCTAAAGTAGTATCAGATTTTCCTCATGAGCTATTACATATTTTGAAACCCTTAGTGTACTTTCATGCTACTATTAGAAGTACTCTCCTGTGATGAGTCTTTTGCTCTGTCTGCCTACATCCTATTTGTGAAAATAACCTCTAGCAAAACTGAGAGTGAATTAGTCTCTAAATGAGATATCAAGAGCTAATGAGTAAAATACAGGTTAGTAATGACTAGTCCATCTGGGTAAAGAATCTATAAAATATAGCAGGGGGAGATCCTGCTCAAATCCACTGGAAAATGAAGGATTACAAAATTCATGTGGAAATATACATACTGCCTCAGGGAGAGAACATATTCACTAATGCAGCCATCACTGCTTGCTGTGGAATCTACATTGATTCTATCACCAGGAAGGCCATAGAGCAATGGGATAAGAGAGGGAAGTTATACCAATGGCTGAAACTGCTGCAATATACTGGGCATTTGAACCATTGAAAACCAGAGGCTGTGCTAGCTCCCATGGTAGTTTTGGGCATGCTGATTCTAGATTTTTATTTTTTTTTTTTACCTTTTGAAACCTTAAAAGAAATAAAGCAGCACTTTCATTGCTAGCATCAATCTGCTGTCTGCAATGGTTTTCCAATTAAAAAAAACCCAAAATGAGTCATACTGTTTAAACAGAACTCCAGCATGCCATTTCAGATCTACACAAGTCACCTTGAAAGATTTATGATGCCACAGCATAGTAGTCCTGTTACTAATGCAGGAGGAAGAAATATAGCTCATTGTTCATATGATTGCTCACTTCTCTGTGGTTTGAGGTACAGAGCATTAACACATTGCTCATTGAACAAGGTTAAAGTAACACTTCTGATTGGGATCTCAGCTATGGGCTGTTCTGCCTACTGAATAACTGCAAAGTCTGGGATAAGAAGTACTTAAAGATAAAAGAAATAAGTATTAGGCAAATGCCAGCATTGCCTGAAAGTGTGATGGCTAAGTGTGAGGACACAAGATTTCACATTAGAGAAGTTACTTTACTCCAGAGCTATCTCTGACTTGAAGCTGCCACTGCAGCAGCAGATGTAAGCGGCAGTGTGAGGTGGGAGTTTCATAGACATTTACTGCAGGGAGCATCTCAAGATTCTGATGTAGAAGGTCATGTAAGTAGTTGCAAAATGTTAATGACTAGAAGCAAGCAAAATTCCAGACTGCAAGGTTAGGGGTGGGGAGAGCAGTGGAAAAAAGGCTTCTGAAATAGCTTTATGAGGCTCCAATTTAAATCTTGAGTTTGCTTTGCTTTGTTTCCTACATGGGCAGGAAAAATGGAGAAAGTGCTAGTAATATAAGATAACATGGAGGAAATAGCTACTTTCTGTAGCAAAACAGTACACATATTATTTTTTTCATGACTGCCTGCAGACTATGATTCAGCACTAAGGCTCCTGGGACAATCCTGTAATTACTGCACAGGCAAACAGGGAGGCAAGGGACATCTTCCACATTGTCCCACAAGACATACCTATAATGAAAAGGACACATCTTTCCTTAATCCACATAATCTGTTTGCACCCTGGTGCATTCCCTGTCCTTCTCTGAGCTCATCTATGGTGCCCCAGCACCCTGAACACAAGCAAGGAGGATGCTGACCAACATCTATCCAACTGTTGGAGGCCGATGAACCAGAGAAACTGCTGATATATTTTAAAACTGTACTTCTGTGCAATGCTAAAAACCAGGTCAATTTAGAGGACAGAAAGAAGATTCAGTCCACTTTACTGAAAGGATTTTGTGTTTGTATTGCCTGTGCTTTCTGCTTAGTATGAGCACCTAAGAAAATACTGTATGAAAGCACCATTTTTACAGCACAGGCTGGCATTGGAAATGTCATACTGAGAAGAAAAGGAATCAAAACTGCTCAAAATATTGACTTTTAAATAGACTTTTTGTCATCCTGATGCAATTCTAAACATAAATAATATTTAAAATCTGACATATGGAATGTGATGGATTAGGGCATGGGATTTTTTTCCCCACTCTTGCTTAAATTGCTTTTAAATTAAAATCTACAATTTCTGTATAGATTTTCCTTGTGGCTGCTAATCATGAGGTCTAAAATGACAAGAAAGTTTATATTCTGAATATAGAATCTGATTCTGGGCAGTGTCCCTTTCTCCAGCCCATGTTCAGGCTGCATTTTTATTAACAGTAATGTAAGATTAGGTAAAACATTGCTCATTAAGCAAGTGTGTGACCAGGCTGTTTAGTCTTCTACACAAAAAAAATTCTATCATAACATCCTCCACCTTCTAGGTTAAATGCTTTTTTTGTCTAGACTTTTTCACCTTATCTTTTGACAATGTGTCTTGAAAAGATTAAGGATTACTCAGGATTACTCATAACTTTTGGGCCTTTAGATTGTAATTCAGAGGATATCAGAAATCTTGGATTTCACTGTCTCTGGGTCCCTGTCAACTCTGCATGATGACTGCATTCTTCATATCTTCTCTTGCAGCCCTTGTGGCTAATTCAGCTTTGGGGATTCTACCTTTTGTCTCAGTGTCATAGATATCCTCATGGAGAAATGGAATATTTTCGTTTCTTTCTTTCTTTTTCTCCAAACCTTTCTTTTCCTTTCTGCAGGATTGCTTGTGAAATAAGGGCTTAAATGTACTTCAAACAGAATTTTTGTTTTCCAGTAGTTTTCATTAAAGTCTCACCACTGACACCACCTGAGGACTGGGCTCCCATACTTCCCATCAAGTAAAAAAGTCTGTTTTCCAGTGGAGGTTAAAGTGATGATGGAGAAGTAGGCCTCCATGCTTGCAATTCCCTGTTATTATTCTTTCTTTCCAGTCTAAGTGCACATCCTATTGCAGACCTGTTGTTGCTACATTTTAAATTCTACAGCAATGTAGAAGTCAATGAAATCATTTGAGATCTGTGCAACCCCACCCCATGTCATCAGTCTGCGTCAGTCTGCAAGGAAAATTCTCCCATTGCCTTGTCTTTTTTAACATATAACTTACATCTGTAATAGATGACAGACTGAAATAGAAATTAGTGAGACAGTACTGCTGTTGAGAAGCAGTGAAGACATGAACAATATTTACCTCTTAGAAGCAGATGTTAAAAAAAGGATGTCTAAAACAAAGAGTTGACAAATTAGTTTTGACTTGAAATAAATATAGCAGCTGCCTAGAGGATATGAGACGGATCCTATGACTAAATGAAAGAAGCGTATCTATATAAATATAGATGTATGTTTTGAATAGAAGTGTCAGTTTATTAATATGCCCAATCACCATTTGTGCCAAAGAAACCTGTCATCTGATGGAAATCTGCTTGTACTAAACAGCAAACGAAACCCAGCAAATGGCTGTTGTTTTCAGAAGCAGAGTTTGCTTAGTGTAAGCATTTTCCAACAATGAAATGTAACCATTTCAGTAATATAACACCTCCATCATGACACTTTCTATGATGACCTCTAGCTCAGCTCCAACTTCTGAAAATGGAAACAAAATAAAAAAGAAAAAACAAAACCAGAAAACAAAAAATGCAAGCAAGAACCTACAGCTTCTCTATTTCAGTGGACATTCATTACAATTTGAATTGTGAATAATGCAGCTACCAAGACCCAGCTACCTTATGCTCCAGGCTGGAGTCTTTAAACATCAGTGAAAAAGGCTTGATATGCTCTCTTCTCAATTTATCGCCACTCCGTAAGTCGATGGTGTGCTCTATTCGCTTGTTAATTTCCTCAGGCCCAGACTGGACATGCAAAGCTTGTGCAAGATGGTTTGGAAGCAGATTTATTGAATTTCTTGTTAGGGCAGCCAGAGTCTAGGGGAAAGCACATGCAAACAGAATAAACCTGCTGGTCCCCTTGGATTAAAAATGCAATGTTTTAGATCATGTTGCATTGCAAACCATTACAGCATTCCATGCAATTCATTCAATGAAATCTACAGAAGTGTTAAATAATAAGTCTGTTCCACTAAACACATACAGTACATTAAGGGGAGTATTTTAATGCCCTCTTTCATAGAGACTAGGAGCTTTGTTGCTGCACTGAACACTAGCAATATATTCCCCTTTCCAGATTCTGCTAATTAATTATTAAAGCATGCACGAGGGGAGTACACACCAAGATCACAGCAGGGTATCTAACTTTATGGTGTGTTCTAACAACTAAGCATAGAACCTACAGAAAACAGAAGTCACATAACAGGAGAAATGATGGGGTTTTTGTTATCTTAAATTTACTGGATGTGTGTAGTTAAGGAACAGATCAGTTAGGCAGGAGTGAAGAAGGTGACATTTCTCATTACTTCAGCATGGGCTTTCAAATAATATGTTCTTCTTCACTACTGGTATATTTCAGCCAGCCTATATTACAGTTAGGCTATGTGATTTAACTGTAATTTATATTATGATTCTAAATATTATCTCAAATGCTTTATCCCTTTGGTATGACGTTAACTAATCAAAAGAAAAAGAAGATACTTTTGCATAGCTTTGCAAAGGAAAGCTAGTGGAGATAGTACGAAGGGTGCTTCACCTTCAGAAAAGAGATAGGGTTTATTTTCATAAAGAGAATAACTCAATTCAGTTTCATGGTATCATTTCATGACATAAACCACAGTGAAGTAGCACTTTCCCACTAGAATGGGAAAATAAACTCTATTATCTATACCTGTGATATTCCAAGGGGTTAAGAAATGTTAATGAATGGAAAGGATATAAACCTTCATACATCACAGCATCAGACATTTCAGAATTATTATGGACAAGAAATACACTTTTGTTTGAGAAAATATATCCCACAGGTCCTTGCTGGAAAGATCTTCTGTTACATGTCCTACTGTGTATTGTAGGGAACAAACGTCTAGGCTAGTTTATCACTAGATTTCCCTGGAAAGCCAATTATTTTGGATCATGGGATTATGCACAGAAAATGGTAGAGGGAGGTTTCCCTCTTCATATTCAATTCATTCTGTTAATTACATTCTGTTGAATCTTGGAGAGCACATTAAAACAGTCAGGCTCTCTGGTACCCACTGTCAAACCTCAAGCGACAACTTTCTTTACAATGCTAAAATAAAATCCAAGGACTCCGTAGACACAGATAATATCTAGTTTACTCATATTCCATCTTTTGATGAGTGACTTCAGAGGCCAAATATATAGGGAGAAAAGGATATTAGGACTGAAATCTGTCTCTTGAAGTGAAAAGCAATCT